TAACATGTTAATGAAAAAATGCTTGTAAATACGGAAAGTAAATTTTCCAAATGCATCAATGTTTGACTATATGTTCGGATTAAGCGACTTCTATTGTGGGTGTGTAGTGGTCAATTTTCTCGCTGAAACAAGAATAAAAAAGAATGTATTTAAATAATATTTAAATTCGTTAAACTGAGGTTCACAAAGAGGCAATCAAGTTCTAATGCATAAAAAAAAATCATAAAGTTAAAATACCAATTCGCAATCAGAGTTTTGAAAATGGAAAATATCTCTAAGAAACACATTATTTCAGCCGATAGGAATATATATCAAATTAATGGTTTGAACTTTAACATTCAATACAGTTTTGTGTGAAAACTAGTATACCACATTATATTCCACCATTTTTGGATTTGGTTTGGTTTATTTCAAACATGTCTTAAACCACTTCAGTCATTGCCGTTTTATTAAACTAATAAAATAAAATTTCTACATATGATTTTTTTTGTTTGTTTGTTCTTAAAGATTAGGATGAGCAATAAGGTTTCATTAAATATCCATTTAGTTTCCATTTATTTAGTCAGAACTGATTTATCTTGTATTCAAATTTCAATCAACTAGAATGAGGCATTTTAACATAAATTTATTTACAACACTGGATGATATTATGTCGCCGGATATTATGTATTTGCATTTAGTTTTAAATCAACGTAAAATAAATCTAATTGTCGTAGGATATCTCATTTCAAATTCCACCGAATATTAAATAGAGCATATAATAACATCAGACTGACAAACGATTTTCATATTGGACAAATATGTAGAAAGCTGAGAAATATTAAAATGGTTTTACCGGCGTTGAAAATAGATAATGAACTGTTCCCTGAAAACGTCTTTCAGCAGTAAAAATTCAGGAAAGATTGAAAAGTCTTATTTTTCAAGGGTGGAGAAATAAAGTTCAGTTCATAAAATTCAGTTTATTCACTTTCTAGCTTAATTTGAGGGCTTACAACAAAAATAGAGAGAAAACATATTTTTAAATGAACACAAGAAAACCAGAAATACCACTTGTTTGTTGTTATTAAAACTTCATTTTTGTTACATAAAAACAAACGTTGGAAATATATAATTTTATCCGCCTGTGAATCACCTCCAATGTAAAACCCCTTTTGAAACAGTGAGACGTGACTGGAAAATGCAATTTTGGTTAGTAAAGTATGAGTAATTTTGTTTGATTACTCATAACCATCATCATATTTCATTTGATGAATGAACTTGGCATTCATGTTAGACATAGACATGAACAATATCTACCTGAATGTGTTATTGCTTTTATAATTCCTAAATTCCAAAATCCAAGTGTTCGATTGAATCAATTTAAAAATGAGAAATGTGTTGCGAAACAGTGTGTGATAATGTCTATTTAATTGGAATTTCAATTTCCTAGTTAGTCTTTCAGTATTTGGATTTTCATTTTTATTTATTTCTCAGCGACGTTTTCAGTGGGGATCGTTTTTTCAGAGCCTATTTATATTGTCATTTCGCATTCTTTCAAATCCTATTATGAGAATACTATTCAATCTATATCTTTGATGTAATGTTGGCCTCACACGTTGAAGTTTGACCTATATCACGTAGAACTCCGTAATATTGAAATCTCTGTTCAAGGAGAAATACCATTGGGTTTACAAGATCTCAATGTTTTACCGGTTTATTTTACTGGATTTTATGTATTACAAATATTTCTCCCCGCCTCGGAAAATCTCCGCTAAGCCAATTTTCTTGGTCCGCAATTTACTACAATTTTCGGATTCAAACAATTGACTCTCGTATGACCGTATATCATTATAATTATTATTTTTTCGATAAAAATTCTTGAATATTTATTTCAATATCTTTTATATTTTGAAAATCTATGAATAGAATGAATGGAATTGGCAAAAATTTATCCAATTTATTTTGTCGTGAAATATTCTAAAAATAAACCGAGAGTTGTAATCTGGCTCGTTTAAATCATCGTATACTATTGATTTTTAATGAAACCATAATGAAATAATTGTAGCATAACTATATTTGCGTATACAAATTTTAAGCGAGTGAGCAACAGTGAATTTCTAGTTTTAAATATATGGCTGTCTGGATTATTAATAAATACGGAGTAAAAATTGCTCATTGTAAATTCAGCCTAAATATCCTTTGCCTTTCAAATGAAAGCGTCCCTGTTATTTCTCACTATTCATGGAAATTACCTGACTAAAGTATTCTGAGCATTTCCTTCCATTGTCGTAGGAATATGTGAATAAGTGCGTTCATGAATTCAGAAAATTACGAAAAGTAATTATCTCAAATATAAACCCATTACCGACGTTGAACTCACGTATTCATCATTCACAGCGAAATTGCTCTATGAAAATCACTGTGGAAATTAACTCTATGGAGAGTGTTATGGATATTATTTATAATCTTTTATGGAAGCAATATGTCCTATTTTTGAATTCTCTACACAACGCATATATGGGAATGCAAAAACCTGTATCTAGCTATATCGAAATTGAATTTTTGTGTTTTGAAAATATAATGAAAAATCTGAAGTATATCATGCACTCACTCTACATAATTAAACTATATCAAACTTTTATCTGGTATTGTTTCATTATCTTTATAATAACGAAATTATTCAATACAACAAGTGAATATCCGAATCGTGCATATACTCTGTGGCAAGTTTATAGCCAGTTTTCTCAGTATCTAAGTCCAGTTAGTACAACACAACAGCACAAAATCAAAATATTTGAAGTTATGATCATGGTTTGAGTTGGAGATAAAGTGTGGAGCCAGCTTAATCAAATGAAGCTACTAATATTTATGATAATATTTATGAGAATATTATTTGATCAGCTTATGATGTATAATTTTCACATAGTGTCTGAAAGTATGTCCATAACATCAAGTTCGTATATACCGGTGTATATTCGTGCTGGTGAAATACACTAACTTTAATCTTTCGTAGCATTGGAAAACATGAAGGCTATGTTAATAGTTTTTTCGAACTGAAGACAAAGTCTATTTCACTCAATTGATGTTGTTTAGACATTTTGTGTTTGCTCATACTTATCTCACTTCATAACGTTTTTTCTATTTCCTTTTCATAATTACGATATGAAAAAACTTAAAAATGTAACCAAAATTTAATGATTACTTATATTATAATTTTGTCCGAATTTATGGATCGTACATGGCGATATTGAATTTGCCACAGGTTATTACCACATCCATAGGATATCAGACACCGGATAACCTTGGTTAATTTTCGACATTTTTATTGAGTTACACAATATTTAGAAAAGACGGCAAAAAGCTTTGCGTGTAAAAATAATTGGACTCTGAAAAGTCATTTTGCTTTAATGACATCCTTATGATCGAGATAAGGGTCGGAATTGACGCAGTTATTTCGGGAGTGTATTCCACTTTGTCGAAAATTGACAATCCTCCTGAAAAAAACATTGTCAAAAAAAAAACATTTACAGAAAAATATTTCCATCGTTTCTAATAAATGCCGTGACTGGATATTGAGAACGGAACTAAAAAGTTTATCCAGCATTTGAAAAAATAAACAAAACAGAATCAAAATTAAGCCACCCGACATGTACGTGCCGTAATAGACTTGTACCGCAAATTTTTAACCATCGCGGCAAAGTTTCGGCCGGATTGGTAAACAACAGATACAATAATGTTTGCAAAATGGATCGTAATGGGTCAATGTTTTTATTAGAATCTTTTATGAAGAAACTACAAACGACTGTGACTAATGCAAATTATATTTGTGGACAATCACATACCGTTTTGATATACATAGAAAAATAGTAATAAAATAAAACCCACATTTGAAAATGTTTCACAATTTCTACGGGCATGCGAGATCCACGTACGTTGCGACTGCGAATGCATATTCCCCGAAGCCTATAAAATGTGTTTTAATATAATTTCAAGAAACACCCAAGTCTTCAAAAGACCCACACTACCAGTTTGAAGAGCGTACAAATAAATAAATAGCCATTAATGTATGTTAATGTCTCCAATCTTATAACAATTATTCTGATATTTCGTATGAAGTGTAAATTTGAGGAGAATATGTAATTGACTAAAATGTTTTGAAAAGGTATGTCGCGAATAATTCGAATGAATGTAAGCCTCATTACAAGCACCCAATTGATATTTCAGATTTTTTCGTCATGTCCGTCTATATTTTGGCGGAGCTATTTATAGACAACACTCGGCATAAAAGAAGTATTCGTCAAATTTACGTCCGGCAGACAGACATCTCTGTCTTGTGTGCGAGAGGTTAGCTCAGTATGGGAATTTACGTGTATAGATTTGAAAAAATGAACGTCTGTTCTCCGTGACATAAATTTCTTAGTTGCACTAATCAAGCGGAATTTAAAATCATTATAGGTTGTCATATGCGATAGAATGCCGCAGGGATGAAAACGATCATAGCTTGACTACACTAGATAGCAAAGTACTTGTAATATAGTATGGTAGCGATTCCAATGGTTGAAATATGATATCATTGCACACGCTGTGTATTCTACTACCCAGGTGATTGATATTTCTCATCAGTCTTACATAGCTGTAGTCAACGCAACATGGCAACGAAATTAAACCTGTTTTATATAGGGCCTACTGTAAGCTAATCCAGATTGGTTTTGGCGAAACCAGACGACGTTCGAATTGTTATTTCAACGGACAGAAAGTTTGTTGTAAAACGATGCTAGCATTAGGAATTTGAACAAGAAAATAATTCAGTCGATGTTCGTGTCAAATAACTAATTAACGTTTGCGATTTGTGGCATAAAAAACTTATATGTAATAATCGTGGATTGCCTCCGGTATTTCCAGAAAAAGGTTCAAATAGTCACCGAAGAATTTTTCGATTTTAATGTATTAATTCTTTGTTTCGTTTGTTGGCTTTTCAGTAGTAAACGTGGCGGGTGGAAAACCTATTAGTACGCGTTAAAAGCAAAACTAGATATTTTTATAGAACAGCAGGGTGACGCAAGTGTTGAGAGTCATTCGACTGGAGCCACTGATCACGGAAGTTTGAGAAATACTGGTGTAAATAATAACGAATCTATTTCCGTGAACAATGCGCCACAGTATGTTGATATACTTTTTTTATTTAAATGTAGGTACTGTAGTGACAATCTCAACATTTCTATTTTGGATATTTTTAGAGTAAGATATCATCAGCAATAACCTTATAATATTGACGACGTCATCGCCAAGATATAATCCGCAGTACGACGCATCATATTGCAGTTGCAATAAAGGTTCAACAAAATGACACAAACATGCGATCAAGCAGAAAGCAGGTCATGCCTAGGTCGGGGCGAAAAATGTCTTTTTTACGGCACATCGGTGTTGAAGCACCGAAGACGAGTAGAAGAAGTTTTCCCGTGTGATGGAATCTTTATAAGACAATTACACAGAAATATATTTGTATCCAAACAAAAAGGTGCAACATTCAAGAAATCCGGGAAAAGGGTATCTGGAAGAATACATTTTTATGCCCAGATGTTATTAGCAGGTACGTGTTAAAACTTTTCCTAATTTCAAAAGAAGTGATATATTTGTAATTTCAAGTCCTGATAACAAAAAACATGACATGACCGTACAAATAATAATTTATGTTTAAAAATACCATAAAAAATAATGTAACTAAGGTTTCACTTATACAGAGGAAATTTTTATATATCAAATACTACTTGAGAATGTCATCATATCTGATTAAAATTGCAAAATTTTCAAGAATCAAAATATATCGAGAGACAAATTAGAACGGAAATAAATTCCAAAGTCGTATAATCGAGAAAACATTCCTGGAGCTTTAAAACTAATTATCTAAAATTAACTTGATATTTTACGAGTTTCGTTCCATGATTTTCGTTCTATTGAAAAGAGTTGATTGGGCAAAAATACACTAGTAATAAAAAGTACAAGTGACGCAACGAATTCTCACATTGGCCATGAAGACCTATAAATATAGTATAAGAACACTTCAGTTCGTTAAATCTAATTCACGAAATTTGAAGTGATGGCACTCGTACTTTCAAGAAGTAAAATTGACGTCACGTGGCCGTTATAAAAAAGTCTGGGCTGAGCACAACTTCCGTTAATACAAACTTCAATTATATTACAGCATCGTGAAAATACATCTATTTGTCAACTAGTAGCGCGAAAGGTCAATGGGTCTACATAGATGTCAAAAGATCCGAGCGTATTTCACATTTTCGGTTTATTTCTTTGTTCTTAGACATTCTAATATATTACCGTACCGATTGAAAGCAATAAATTTGGCCAGTTGAAAAAGAAATCTTTCACAAACCCAACAAGTAAATTATTTAAATTTCTGCTAAGCTTGAAGAATTTAAAGCTTCCCATTGCAAAGTCACTTCGACAGATATTTTCTCCTTTTTATGTCTCAAGTTGCATCATGTGATCAGCACAAAAAAGTCCCAAAATGAAATTCGAGAACGAAATAACAATCATGCGCTACGATGGAAAAGCTGATGAATGAGAGAAAAATGTAACTCCTTCTGAGGATAAATTAAATTATTGCTGTGTAATAGATCTTATACCATGTCTGATTACAATAGGAACGCACCTGGGCACTTCCTAACACTATAGTTGTGTATACACAATGTCTATTGTTTATAAATGCGTGAAGGGCCCACAAAACTATAAATATGAATATTTTGAAATAATTTAACAAACTGTAAATTGGATGGAATGTTGTTAAGTACTGCTACTAATTGTTGTGGTTATGAGTGCGAGCCGTCGATCCGAAACCGATATTTATTTATACGTTCGGGTCGCTGAAGTGGCTCTGTTTCCCGGGCGCCAGAAGCGAAGTAATTAATTTATTATGTAGCGGGTATGCATTGCTGAGTTTGATTTCAGATAAACTTTTCGCAGACGTCATGCTCTATCGGTGTTCATTACTTGCCCAAGGAAAATGTTTGGCTGAGCGAAAATAACGTAGTATCCACTAAACGTAGAAACTTAACATTCGTAACATAACAATGAAATTTAAGAAAACCACAAATTTAGGCTAAACACGCACCTTATCTAATACATTTGATTATTACTATAATTGCGTCCGATTGAGGTTCAGAAATAAGACGGTTGATGAAAAGAGGAAGCGTGGACGACCACAACACATAGCAATTATCTTAATCGTTTTCTAGAAGTCTATACTATAAGTCTACTATTCCCTTTATATGTACGCGGTAAATAAATTTGCTAAGTTCTCGGGTAAAATCAAATCATTAGTAAATGCGATATATTTTTAAATAAGTCGACCATGATTTTCTGTGGAACTAATCAAAAAATCCTTAGATAGATCTTAGACAAACAGTATTTTGAATTTGATTTAATTACCTTTTTACAGTTATCGTTTTAATATCAAGAAGTACAGTAACCATACGCCGCTCTGTCAAACTGAGAAATGGACGCAATTTTCTTGTAATTGGATTGCTCACTTTAATGGCAGAGATTGTTATGGTTTCCATATCTGCTTCAAAAAACATGAAATCGCTGTAAAACAGCTTTTCCAAAACACTGGTATATTCCTTAGGGTTATATCACTGGTATGTTCCTGAAAGTTTACTGTTGTATTATATATCTTGTTGTAATTGTACATGACAATATCTTGAACAAGAGAGCTATGCTCAAATATAAGGACACGTAGCGCCACAAAATTTTGATGACGTCATAGCAAAAAATAAAAGTAATAGCCTTCTGGAGAAAAATTCCATCTTTAACCACTGAAAATTTCAAAGCAATTGGTAAAATAATCAAAGAGGAAAACGATTTCTTCAAAACGTGTTAATGAACAAGAACAACAAAAAGATCGTTATGTCCACAAAACGTGTCCAAAAAGATATTGCTAATAGTAGTTTAGGAAATATCGAAACCGTTAAATCACCAGTATTTGAATATGTTCTTATAACACTGTATTTTACATGTCTGTTCTTCGAAACGTATAATCGATTTTGCGAATATATCAAAATTCAAAATATTTGCCTGGTATAAAAACGCATTCTTTTTTTTGCAGTATTTGTGTTCGTTTCCTGGATCACAACAGCATCAACTCTCCCTATCGAGCCAAATGAATCGATGTTGATACCGGAATTAAAAACAATAAAAACGCCATCAGCTTTGTCAGAATTGATGCAGAGAAGCTCAGAAAATAAAAACAATTCAAAGCATCCCATTCTACAAGAAATCATTTCACTGAAAGATTTCGAATCAGAAGCGGATAAACCTATAATAGGTAGATAGATATTATGATCGAGCTACTTGCTTCTACTATATGTGTATCATGGCAGAGAAAAAATGTTTTCTGTTATTTATCACTATCACTATGTTGAAATTGATGTTCGAGATTGCTTTATTTAGATGGCTCTTGCCACCTCAGCGGACGTTGTAACAAAATGTAACTTTCTTCAAAATTATATATTTTTGCGGAGTGGCATATTAATGTCTTCAATGCACGAGGATAATTCTGCAAGACAAATAATTTGTATTTCTTTTAAAGATATATGCAACTTATCATTTGATTTACAGAAGCACCTAAACTACAAGCTGTGAGAAAACGTTACAAGAAATGTAAAAATCCATATCGAAAGGATTACTGTATGAATGGAGGACGATGTGAATGGATATCAGCCCTCGAACAACCACGCTGCGCGTAAGCAACCTTATTAAATGTGGAACAATTTATTTATTTACCGAAAACGTACCAATCCATAAATTGAATTGCTTATTTCATTTGGTGACCGTACATTTGAACCCATGTACATTTGAACCCATGCGTATATCCACGGGTTCAATCTATATACGGGTGCTAAAACCCATGGGTTAGGGTTAGTATGGGTTTAACTATCCGTGAAACAAAAAAAATTCCATAGGTGCAATAGCATACAGGTGCAACTGTCATGGGTTCAAATGTACGTGGGTTCAAATGTAATGGAACCATTTTATTTATATAGGTGCAAAAATGGATGGAAAGGTGAAAGGTGTAGAACATATCAAGTTGATTTTGACCAAGGCGAAGCAGAACCACGAGATCAAACACTGGTTATTTCACTAGTATTATCCCTTTTTGGCGTTCTCGGAATTGCTCTAGTTGGGTGCATATGTTGGAGGTACGTTTTAGCATTTGAACTTGAAGTTGAATTAAAACAATCAGAACTTTAATGTTATTTACAAATTTAAGTACTTGTTTTATTTCAAATGTAAATGTGAGAACAAGCTCAGAATAAACATGCTGATTACTTCATCATTACGTATTAGATTATGAAACCCACTTGTTGTCCTCGAATCATTTTCGTGATCGTTAGATTGGTTTGAACCAATAATCATAGTAACAAAGCAATGCTATAATTTGGCAGACGGGTCAAGTTCCTCCAAACACACAAGGACGAGATCAATGAAAATACAGCGATGGTAACATGCGAACAAGAAAGATCTAACTCAGTTCCTAGATGACGTGTTTCGAAAAATCACATCGAATATGCTCCGCAGTAAAGACAACATCACAACCAAAATTCCTTCTCCAGGATCGTTCAAATGAATATTACAATTATCTTTTGCTCTTTTGAATCACTTTCGTGAAATATGCTCGCATTTGCATGTACTGTGAATACACTGTTGAAATTCGTTCCAACATTAATGAAGTGCTTACTATTTATTAATATTTTCGTTTTGCTTCATGTATCGATAAAAAATGATTTATTTAGAAAATCAATGGCTCCCCAAACACATATAGAATTCGACAATTTTTCAACCGAATATCATTATATATTGCTCTTCGGCTAGCGTGGGCTTTCGATAAAGTGTGAATAATGAAAACATCGAAGCGTTCTAAACTTCTCGTTTCGAATATTTATCAAAATGAATTTCCGTGACAGATTGTAGTTTATCTTGCACCAATATTGATTCCGCCATGCATGATCTATCGAGGATTCATTTTTTTTTTCATTTCGTTATAACTATTTATTTTTTTCATATTTGCACATCGCTTTATAATTTTCTTTTTACATCTTTATTTTCGTCTAATATTAATCAATCACGTGATATCACCAAACAGTAGATTGATGACGTTGTCGCGGACTTCCCGACAGTAATTTGCACATTATATGATATTAGTCAACACACTCTTTTAATGTTTGATCTGGTGATACCGCCATGAGTCAAACTCTATCACCATTTTCTGCCAATTTTTTACCGCTTCGGCCACGATTTATTCACGCTTATTGTTTTATGTTTGCATTTTATTTGCACTTGGTAGATTTGCACCAACAAACATATTTAAATCCCCACGACTAAAATCTTGTAGTAATATTTTCAGAATTTCTCGATTTATAGAAATCGATTCTCTCATCAAATGTTGTTACCAGTTCTTTTTATGCTGTAGGTGGAGTTTCTTTGGCAAGACTTTGATATTGCGGACAATCCTCATTTGATGTCCAAATGTCGCGATCACAGAATAAATTGCACTTTTTCACCTATATCTATTTATGTTTTCGTTTCTTTTTACACCTTTGATTATCATGCAACATAACTTATTTATTAAAATGTGAATAATAAATCGTACCTTGCAATTTCAACAAAAGCGCGAGAATTATTATTATTTTTTTAATTAGAAGACTCGAAATGTCAGCAATAGTCAAAAATACGTGTAATTGGGATGCATGAGATGCGCTGTGTAAGTGGGGAGTCCGCTTAAAGATTTATGTCCTTTTAATTTCAAACTCGCTTATGTCTTTTGTAGCATGACACCCGTGCCACACCTAATATTAGATTTGACGTCATATTTTGTATTTAATGCGAAATCTATCTTGTCGTTATAAAAAATTTTCCACTCTTATGCATAAGGTATATAAGTAAGTAATGGGCAAAATACCAATGTAAATTAAGCAAGGTTTATGGAACAGATTGAGAACTATGCATACATTATTTCTGAGAAAATCTCTACAGTGAGTATACAAGTTTAACTTAATGTCAGTAAAATCCAAAAATTAGTAAAATTCTCGCTTTGAATCAGTCGATATCCAGTAGATAGATTGTCAACTTCTCACCCCATGTCAGAGAGCAAAACATGTCAATAAAAAATAAGCGATACTTGCAGTGTCTTTATTCTGAACTTATTGACGAAGACGCAAAATTTCCCGCCATTATTTGGCCTGACCGAAGAGATGCTTTTTTGACTGAAGTATATATTCCATCATGACTGTGAGAGTTGAGTGCATTTAACTAAAAATTAGTGATAGACTCACAATCGAACGACGGCGAATTGGCGACGTAATGATGGGACTGCCATTTGCCATCTTCATTTATATACTGCCAATAATATCCATATAACGCCAACTCACATACATATATAGCCAACTCAATATATAATTACAGCCTTGAGTTGATGTAAAATTACTGCTAGGTTATTTCATAAGAATACAATTTATGTAGATGCGGTTGCATCTACGAATTATATGCCCATTACGGGTCCTTCATATAATAGACGCATTAATTAAAAAGCGTAAAAAAACTCTAAAGCGGCTAGGGATCGATACGGTATTAGAATACAGGGGGATGGCTTTACTTATATGTTGATTACGCACAAAAATACATAAAACTACCAGTGTTCGTAGTACATTATACCTATACAATAGGTACCAATCTATAATATCCCGCAACAGCTGCTTGTTGAAAACACGAGAAATGTGCTGGCTGAAAATCTCTCTTCAGTGAACTATTCTTTGGCTATTGGCAATAAACTGTCCACAAAATAATCAAATTACCGTTTGGTGGAAAATATGAAACATAAAACTGCCGGGGTGCGTTGTTCTTGATAAATGTCCAATAGGCGCCAATCTATGATGTCATAATAACCCACAACAGCGGATCGTTGATGACACGGAAATGTGCTGGCTGAAAATCTCTCTTCAGATAACTATTATTTGGCTATTGGCAATAAACTGTCCACAAAATAATCAAAGTAACGTTTGGTGGAAATTATAAAACATAAAACTGCCGGTGCGCGTACTTCTTGATAAATGTCCAATAGCGACAATCCATGATGTCATAATACCACACAAGAGTTGATCGTTGATAATACGAGAAATGTGCTGGCTGAAAATCTCTTTTAAGAGAACTTTTTTTTGGCAATGGGCAATAAACTGTCCACAAAATATGCGAATTAACGCTTTGTGGAAAATATAAAACTGCCGGGGCGCTTAGTTCTTGATAAATGTTCAAAAGGCGCCAATATATGATGTCATTATACATAATGTATATGGCATGGCGCAGTGGTATGACTGGTGACATTGGAGGCTTGTGGGTGTTGATACAAAGTACCCAGAAGCAGAAACACTAAATGACATTTATTTATCCAAACTCTCGATCGACGTAAAATACAAAATTATCAAGCACACGAAAATAGAGCAAAGTCCACATCTCAAAATGAAAGATTCCCGATAAAATCCTGTAAGTCCGCAGAACCGTGACCGAAGGTTGTTTTGAGACTTAAAGTTTCTTTTATTGTTTAGATATAATGTCGATGAAATAAATAATGATACCCAGGTGGGTGTAGAGCAGGGTCGGCAACCTTTTGTCGCTCGCGGGCCAAAATTAGGGGTTGCAAGTCATTGGCGGGCCGCACAAATTTTAAGAAAGTTGAAAACCGAACGGATGATACTTTTTATAATAAAAATCAGACAGTAATAAATCTCTCGAATAGAATGTAGATTCATTTCCTCATTGCATTGCATCTCAACAAATCACAACTTTTCTACGTTTTGTTGTCGTTTGTCTAATTATAATTTAATTATAGGCTCACTAAACGAGTAATTATGCATTTTTTACTTAGATTATAATATAACTTAGTCTACACGTGTCTCATAATAAATTCTGTTACGTAAAGAATATAATCGTCAAAATAACTGTTTTGTTACTATAATTCAGTGAACGGTCGCGGGCCGGATTATATTACCCCGCGGGTCGGATCTAGCACGCGGGCCGTAGGTTGCCGACCCCTGGTGTAGAGTATATAATATTGAGCAATTTTTGGAATCCACTTAAGCAAGTGGATTTTAAAAGGGGAATCCGACCACCTTGGATGCCAGGGATCGGTTATCTGGGAGCACGAACAAACAGATGGAAATGCGAATATATAATATCTATGTATTTTTATAGAAGCGAAGAAGCAAAAGTGTTGAGAGTCTTCGGTAGTTTGAAAAAGCATTGGCATGGATTATAAACATGAATTACATTCTTTCCCAGGGATATACTATAAAATGTAGCAATTCTATCATTCGTGTTCTCGTGATAGCATTATTATTCACTGCATCGTCGTGATCACCCCGCTGCAAAACAATTCTTGCTAACAAATGATTGACTGTTCTCCACCGGGTGTATATTTGCGTACAAACTGTGCGAAATCCACTTGAGGCTCTGTAATATAGTGACCTTTGACCCGTGTCCGTTCATGTCTGAAGGTGACTTCTAAGTACTCTACTTATCACGTGTACTGTGATACATTAGCTGTTATGAGTTGGTACTGTGTGCATTAACTGTTTTAAGTTTATCTATCTGGAATGTGTTCTGTTTCGAATGTGAATAAAGTCTACAAATGCAATATAGTTGTGCGTGTATACACACCACCTTACATTGGCGACGAGGATAAAGCAACGGTAACAGATAACGTTAACCTAAGTGGTAAAGGAAGCCAAGTGCAACCTCGAATACGGGAAAGACCTACAGAACTTGGTGTGAAGTAGTGGTCAACGGAAGTCAAGAGTCAACTAAGTGTTGTACAGTTTCAAAAGCCAAGAAACATTCCAGAATTGTATATTGCATTCCTAAGTGGTCTGTGCTGTTTACAAGTTCTTAACCCACATATAGAAGATGGCAAATCTACCAGATTTCAGATCATTTGATTGTGAAGACTTATCAAATGCTGGTCCCCGGTGGAAGAAATGGTTATCGCGTTTTGAAGTTTTAATGTTAGCCATGAACCACAAAGATACCGAAGATGACAGAGAAAAGAAGAAGAATCTTTTACTGCACTATATGGGTGATGAGTGCTATGATATATATGAAACATTAAAAGAAGAATCCGACAAATTCTCAGACGTAAAAGATAAACTGACATCGTATTTTGTTCCCAAGTCAAACAGTGAATATGAAAAATATATATTCCGAAATTCAAAACAAGAGGAAGGTGAAAGTTTTAGATCAGTTTTGTACGAGATTGAAGAAGATTTCATTAAACTGTGAATTTGGAGAAAATCGTGATTCTGAGATTAAAAGTCAAATTATACAAGGTTGCCTATCTTCAGAACTAAGAAAGAAAGCTCTCACAAAGACAATGAATCTCACAACATTGCTTGAGACGGGAAAAGCAATGGAGTTGGCTAAAGATCAACTGTGTGCAATGGAGAGTGAGTCAAGTATCCAAGGAATATGTGAGTTAGTTCCTACAAAAGAAAGTGGAAAAAGAACATTTCATCCAACAATTCTAGTCATTCAAGAGATCAGACAAAAAAGCATCAAAGTAATAAGGTAAAACCTTTCATACAAAACGAAATCAGTGTTTCAGTTGCGGTGGAGTGTATCCACATGCAGAAAAGTGTCCTGCATATGGTCGCAGATGTTATAACTGTTCCAAGTATGGTCATTTTGCTGGATTCTGTATAAGAAGCGAATAGTAAATTCAACATAGCCCAAAGTTGAAACAGTGTGCAAAATGAGCCTAAACATGATTGCAGAGGATCATGAACTGAGTGAAATGAGCTCTGAGAATCATGAATATATTCTCTCAGTGAATGGATCAATGTGTAATTGCTCCAATAACAATAATCCTGCAAAAGTACAGTTGAAAATTAACAATGTGCCCTGTTCTATGCTTATAGATAGTGGTGCTAGTGGTAATGACTCGATTACAAAACTTTTCAAAATTTAAAAGTTAGATCCAGTAAACCATGCAAAATTGGAAACTGCAAATGCTTATGGAAGTAGAAAGCCCTTGTCTGTGAAGGAGAAATTTCATGCAGTTGTTAACTTCTAAGTGTGGCAAATGCATCAACACTGTATTCTATGTTGTTAGATATGCAATTGGTTGTTTTGCTTCTCTTTCAAGACTGCTAGTGATCTTTGGTATTTTGAAAATTAATTAACTCTGTTGTCAAATGATTGAGTGGATCTCACTGAAAATATTTTAAGGGATTATAATTCAATTTTTCAAGGTTGGGAAATTGAAAAACTTCCAATTGAAGTTGAATATTGATGATTCTGTAAACCCTGTCATCAAAAGCACAGACGAGTTCCTTCAAGCGTCAAAAGTCGAAAAGTGCTGTTGCTAAACTTTGTGATGAAGACATTTGTGAAAGTGTCGGGGAAATGTCCTACACCTTGGATCTCTCTTATTGTATGTGTTCCTAAACCTTGTGACCCAGAAAACATTCGACTATGTGTCGATATGCGAGCTGCGAATAAGGCAAATAAAGAGGGTAAAACACCCTATGTCCTACTGTTGATGAACTTATACATGATTTAAATGGATATAAAGTTATTTTCCAAGTTGGATTTGAACCAGGGTTATCACCAAATTGAATTACAC